GTCAACTTATTTTAAATTGATGTCCGATGTTCAATCGCGTCATGTAATACCTTCCAATGACGTTCAGAAAATAAACAAGACGCAATATTGGATTGCAACAAAATTTATGTTTATCAACAATTAGGATTGACTAGAAACGCATCTTGTTTAGAGGCTTGAAAGTATTTAAGCATGTCTAAATGATATTTCATTTCAATTTTTCCAATTTCCCTTGTCACCATTAGCTGGCATGTAACGTCAATTAATTTCCTTACTTAGCACCCAAGGTTCTATGTATGTCTTTCCCGCCATAAATACTCTGCACTCAGTGGCTTATGTTACCTTAGGTCTGGGAATGTATCTTTATATTAGATTCTCATGGTCTTTCTAAATTCGATTTATCTATTAGAATAAGTGACAAAATTTAATAAAAACAACCATTTAATTCAATAAAAGAATTTAATTCAAATACCTGAATGGGCGTTTACATCAACACATAAATCACAAACCTAGATTTGTTTTTGTAAACACATTAATTGAAATAAATTAGAGTGAATATTTCAACTATGTAAGCCGCTGTAATTGTACAATGTAAGACAATTCTAAGAAAAATTTAATTGAATTACACTGTAAAACACAAACAGAACGATTTACAGTGAATAATTCTGGGGCAAAATAGATTTTAATAACACTGTGCGACAAAGTTCAATTTTTTCAAAAATTTTGGGAAAAAGCCAGCTGATTATGACATTAAAGATAAACCAGTAAGGTAGAGTCAAAAGTCGGGCGGGGCCGAATATAAGATACCGTACATCACTATGCATATTTAGTTGAGCTCTATTAGTCCTTGTAACAAAAGAATTTACTGGAAGTAGATCATACCACCTATCAACATTTGGCTTTAGAACAGTTATAGTTTGGTTTCAGAGGGATCTAATATATGGGAGGCCGGAAAATATTATTGGGCATTTAATTCAAAGTCGTTTTCCTTTAAATTTGACGGAGACATTTTAATCTTTTATACCACTTATACTTTTATACTTTTTGTTATAGAGCGCATGATATCACTAAGAGAACAATTATATTAAAATATATATATCAGAGCCGAGTTCCGCAAAATAGAACCATTTGTCTCGAAATTCACTACATTTGGGCCGATACTAGCCCGTATCATGACCAGACCTATATATGGGAGCTATATCCAAATCTTTGGCAATCTCGATAAAATTTGGCAAACGTATTTCCGAGCTCTATAAGATATCTGGTATCAAATATCATTGTTGTCGAATGCATATTACGAATGTAAGGGACTATAAGACCAAATCGGATGAAACATATATATGGAAGCTATATCCAAATCTGAACCGATCTTGATACAATTTGGCAGAGGTATTTCTGGGCTGTATATGATATCTGGTACCAAATAACACTCTTTTGGGAGCTATAGCTATTTCTGAACCGATTTTCACTAAATTTGAAATAATTGCTTTTAGACTGCCAAAATTCAAGTCATTTGGACTGAAATTGCCCATTAAGTGCACAATTAATTCGAAATCGGTTAAAGATATATATATGGGAGCTTTATCTAAGTTTGAACCGATTCTTACCAATTTTAATAGGGTACGTCCTTGGGCCAAACAGATATTGTTTGGAAAATTTCATCTCAATCGGATAATAAATGCGACCTGCATTTTGTTCACAAGGATACATGGATAGACTGCATAAATCGACTCAGAAAGTAATTCTATGAAGATCCTCAAAAGTAACTATGAATCTATTTCGCTTCCTTCCCCATGTTTCAAACAAATGGACAAAGACATAAAGAAGACATGCGTATTTCAGAAATTCAGCTCAATCGGTTCATAACAACTCCAATTTGTACCAAATTTAGTATCATATAACACAGATATGTAGGAATTTCCAAAACTTCGTACATAACCCAATCTTACACTCCAATGGTAATCTTATTTCCAATTTTTAGGACACCAACTCAATTGGTTCACTCAAATCCAAATTGTACCATTTAGTACCATTTAGTACACGAAATTCCAAAACTACCTATATACCTCAGTCCTACAATGCAATTTGGAAACTTCCTCCATATACCAATCCTACACTCCGCTAGTAATGTTCATTTCAAACTTCAGAATTCCAGCTCCATCCGTTCCACCAAATTTGAATTGTACCAAATTTAGTACATATAAGTGCAACTTTCCAAAACTACATCTATTTTTCAATCCTACACTTCGATACTAAACTTATTTTAAATTTTGAGGATGTTCATATCTACCTACATCATACAGTACAATATGAATTATATTTTCAAATTTCAGAATTCCAGTTCTATTGGTTCACCCAAAGTTTGAATTGTACCATTTAGTACACATAAGTACGAATTTCCAAAACTACCTACATTCCTCAGTCCTACAATGCAATAGTAATCTTATTTCTAAAATTTCAGAATTCCAGCCCCATCAGTTAACCCAAAGAAATTGTTCCAACTTCAGTACAATTTAGTACTTTTCGTGCCCAAAAGTACGAATTTCGAAAACTTTCTCCATATCCCTATCCTATACTCCGCCAGTAATGTTAATTTCAATTTTCAGGATTCATTTCTCTAAATTCAAACTTTACTAAATTTAGTACCGTTTAATACTTTTCGTATACATGAGTGGGTATACACCGCCAAAACTACCTCCTTACATCAACTCTACTCCTCAACCTTGATTGCCATTCCAAATTTCAAATATTTCGCTTCAACCGTTTACATGATACGAAATGGTACCAAATGCAGTATATTTTAGTACTTTCGTATCTAACAAAGTATAATAAGTATTGATCAGCGCAAAATTATAAGACGATTCAGCCCTGTCCGTATGTCTGTTATTAAAAACGAATTGTGTACAGGTAGGTCAAGTTCGAAGATGAGCTACACGGTCCGCGATGTCGTATGGCCCCCATATAACGGTTATTCAAAGGAACTTTCTGAAATTCAACACAAAGAGTTTTTTGTCGGTACTTTACCGCCTGTATGAGAATTATCTACATAGGTACACGATACAACGGTAACTCCCCCATACAACGGTACCTCACGATATTCGATATTTTTATGATTGCAGCCATATTTTTCAATAGAATTGTCTGAAAACCCACACAAGGAGTACCTTCTGAGTACTTCACCCCCTGGAAGAGAATTGTCTATATAGGTCTACGTTAACGTATATCCCCCCATAGAACGATACCCTCCGATATTCGGTATTTTGACGGTTTTAGCGAGATTTTTGACCGAAATTGTTTCAAATTTCGTATTTAGATGGATTTTAGATGGGTACTGCAGCCTTTGATAAAAAATTGTGTTTGCTTGTCCAGGACTTCGTATAGCCCCGATAAAACGGTACCTCCCTATATTCGGTACTTTTGATGATTTTAGCTACATTATTCACCGGATTCTTTCAAGTCTCGTATTTGAAAAATGCTGATGGCTTATGACAAATGTTGACTTTGCAGGTCCACGTTTATATAGACCTCCATAATAACGACTATATTCGGCATTTTTAAAAATTTAACAGATTTTTAACGGATTTTATTTTTTTTTTAAATTTCCAAATACGTTCCAAATGGAAAAGGGTATTCAAAGTTCGACCCGGCTTACTGCTATTTTAATTGACTAAAAAATTGAATTTAGGCTTTTTTCTATGTCTCACCAGAATAAATTCAACACAGGCATATATTTTGGCATAGTCCCACATCTGTGAATTATTATGCTTTAAAAAATATGCATTAAAAACTAAAACTGCGGGCCAACAATGCAAACCGGGCCAGCTAGAAATAATAATATTAATAATAATAATAATAATAATAATAATAATAATAATAATAATAATAATAATAATAATAATAATAATAATAATAATAATAATAATAATAATAATAATAATAATAATATTAATAATAATAATAATAATAATAATAATAATAATAATAATAATAATAATAATAATAATAATAATAATAATAATAATAATAATAATAATCATAATAATAATAATAATAATAATAATAATAATAATAATAATAATAATAATAATAATAATAATAATAATAATAATAATAATAATAATAATAATAATAATAATAATAATAATAAAGATATACATAACAATTCCAAGGAATCTAAGTGCGAAAATTAAAAAAAATGTGGAAGAGGGGGGAGCTTGTCCCCTCTACTTCGGTTGCTTAGGGATGTAATCTTTCAACAAAATTTTACAACTCTTGGTCGATATCTGTTGTATTACAACTTGGTATAGCGAACCCAAATTCAAATTATTCCGAAATAATTTCAAATGAAATATTTCCTCCAATTATGAAATTTTTAATTTCCCATTTATGTTGCACGGTGGGGTTGGTCGGATCACGTTTCGATCACACCGATGACAATTCTCAGTAAGATTTCTACATTTCTTCGAATACAAAATATGTGATACATAGCAACATATATATGGCCACACTTGCACGCTCTCTGCGGATCATCGCACACAAATTTTCCCAAACTAATTTACGTTCAATTTAAATCGTTTTGTATTGTCGCGGTGGACACCGCATCGAATTAAATCAACATTTTTTTCCCCCAATTTACTACGACTGTCAGCTTACTCGTATTCTTTAAATTGATTCAAGTAAACAGATTATGATTGTTGTTTGTTTTGCGGAAAGATACGCTACCCTAGATCCATCTTAGAACACAATACGAGATTTAAAATTTTTCTCTCGGTGTAGGGTGGTGTAGATTCGACCCAGTTCAACTTAAAAGCATTTTAATTTATTACTTGTTGCCCCAATCACATTTCTGGTGCATTGTACGGCATAATATATAATATGTATAATATATACTATTATCCCCATATGTGTATGTACGTACATCCTCTTTTATGTATGTACCTATGTCACACATAACGTTGATGGAGATAGATATGACTAATGGCTTTTTCGAGTCTAAAGAATTTGCCATGGAGGCTAAACGACAACGATCATTTTCTGTCAAGACATCAAAGTGAAAAGATCAAAAGATACAAAAAGCGGTTGGAAAATTCCATCGAAGAAATTTTTAATTTAAAGTGATTTTATCCGAATCAAATAGAAACTAAAAGAAAATGTTGACAAGAAAAAGTTTCTTCTACTTTGTCTTATTGCTGCTATCACTCCTGGCCGTGAGCGAGGCTCGTGGTGGTAGGCGTGGCGGTTCTATGGGTGGTATGTTCGGTAGTTGGCGTAAATATAAGAAACCCTCATCGAGCAGTGTCTCATCGAGGCGTATTGTAAGCAGTTCACCGGTTCACACGCCCATTACAAAGGCCCTCAACGAAAAGAAAGCATCCGGTGGAGATAAATTTATAAAAAGCGGAAAGTCTTATAGTAAATATAATACACCACCACTACCGCCAGGTGGTTCATATTACACTAATACTGCAGCAATGCCGGGAAATGCTATTTACATAGCTCAATCGCCCCCAAGGGGTGCAGGTAAGCATATAATGGGAATTAGGATGAGTTTAAATAGGGGGTTGGCTCCTATTCCTATAGTTCCTATTCCTCGTTGGCTCCTATTCCTATAGTTTTATGGATCTTGAAATGAAACATCAAGAATTTCTCTTCTATAGAAAAATTTCTCTTCCATAGAGAAAGTGGTCGATATTTTCTTCCTTTCACACAAAAGTATTCTTCAATTACATCCGCTATATGTAATACCTAAATTCAAGGCCTTGAGTTATTTAAACTTCAATGACTTCGAAATCAGATATTTGTGAAAATTATATCGTGCCCAAAGCGATTGCTCTCAAAAACTCTAAAATATGGTATAGTGTTACTGAGGCGATGTATCAATACCTGTAGATAATGAATAATTTTGCTACATAGCTATCTACAGTTGAAAATGTTAATAGGACCTTCGAAATGCTAATATTTGAAATATATGTTGGATATATATGCCAAATTCGATTTAGAGAAGTGGTCCAGTACCCTAAAGCTACATAATCTAATATTTCATTTCGAAGTTGCGAAGCAAAGTCGATTGAGATTTTAGTTCTTTGAAAAGAGATGGGCATTTCAAAAGACTAAAACATCGAATTTTTTTTTTTTTTTTTTTTGTGTCCGATCCAATAGAAATGACATTTTTTCAATCAATACACTAAATAATCGTTCTTAATTTTGAGTATTTCAAGGTTTAAAATGTTATTCAATTTGTCTTTTTCTCGGAAAGAATAATAGCAAATGTTTACCCTTTACACCAAAAAGTCATCAAAACCATTCATTTTGAATTTTACAGAGGAGGGTACCAGTAAAACCATTGGATAATTGGCCCACATTCTATTTTTTGTCCGAACTATTTCAACCATAGGAACCAACAATATCAAAATCAAATTTCAAATCAAATCAAATTTGAGCTCTGTTCCGTCAACCTTTACCAAATCTAGTACAAGTTAGTACTTTTCGTACAATTTTAGTTCGCATTTCCAAACCCACCTCCAAATCTCAAACTCAGATACCACAAGTTATCCAAATATCAAATTTCAGAATTATATCTCTATCCCTTAAACCAATACCAAATTTAGTACCATTTAGTACAGTTCGCACATTTAGTACACATTTTCAAAACAACCTCCATAGATTAACCAGAGACATCAACAATGACATATATATAAAATTTCAGATTTTGAGCTCTCTCACCCAATACCAAATTTAGTACTATTCAGTACTTTTCGTGCAATTATTGTACGCATTTCCAAACCCACCTCCAAATCTCAATCTCAGATACCAACAGTTATAAAAATATTAAATTTCCGTATTTTATCTCTATCCCTTAAACCAATACCAAATTTAGTACTAATTAGTACTCTTCGTACGATTATAATATACATTTCCAAAACCACCTGCATGTTTCAATTTTAGATACCAACAGAGACCTCAATATCAAATTCCAGGATTTCAGCTCTATTCCCTCACTCTATACCAAATTTTGTACTATTTAGTACTTTCCGTTCAAGTATAGTACAAATTTCCAAACTCACCTAGAATTCTCAATTCCAGATACCAACAGAGACCTCAATATCAAATTTCAGAATTTCAGCTCTATCCTTCACCCTATACCAAATTTAGTACTATTTTGTACTTTTTGTACAATTTTAGTACCCATTTCGAAAACAACCTTCCTATCCCAATTCCAGAAACCGACAGAGACCTCAATAAAAAATTAAAAGTACATATTTTCAAAACCACCTCCATATGTCAAGGCTATACATAAACAGCGACCCTAATACAACATTTCAAACCGCAGACGCTATATATTCACTAAATTATACCAAACATGGTTCTAAGTAGCACTTTTCGTGTACATTTCCAAACCCATTTTTTTATCACAAACCTAACCACAGCACTCCAAAAACCACATTTGTATTTGCCAGCTTCTTCCGTTTACCCAAAACGGAATTATACTAAATCTAGTACCATTTAGTACAATTCTTAAACTTAGCACACATTTCCAAACATCATCATTATATCAATTCCACAGGACCCCAACATCAACATTTCAAATTACCAGTTTCTTCCATTCCCCCAAAACGAAATTGTATTAAATTTAGTACAGTTCTTACACTTAGTACACATTTGCAAAACTTATATCAACCCCATTTCCACAATCCGTTCACATTATTCCAAATGGTACCAAATTTAGTGCATTTTAGTACTTTTAGTACACGTATTGCTAGAACTTTGAAAACCCCTTTAGTTTTTCTATCCTCCACAATATCAAAGACTCCCACTACAAATTCCAGATTTCCAGCTCTATTTCCTACTCTGAATACCAATGTTAATACTATTTACTACTTTACTTACTTTTTAGTAGGTATTCAAATCCCCCTCCATATATCAACTAAGCCGCACAAATGGTGATCCTAATGCCGAATTTCAAACTTCCAACTTAAACCCTTACCCAAATACCAAATTTAGTGTCATTTAGTATTTTTTAAAACGAATTTCCATAACCACCTCCAAATCTCAACCCTACACACGAACAGTGATCATTATGCCAAATTTCAGATTTCAAGCAGTATACGTTCATGCAATACCAAATTTAGTACCATTTAGTACCTTTCGTGCGCTTGCTGAACGCCTTTTCAAATCCAACTCTTTATCTTAACCCTACCCACCAGCAGAGACCCCAATACCAATATTTTAAATTCTCAGATCAATCCGTCCAACCAAAACAAGTTTAGTACAGTCAAAAACTTAATTTTCATAATTTTTCACAAAATACCAGAAAGTAAGAAATTAAGTGTTTTAGTACCTCTAGCACACTTCTAGTCCGAATTTTCAAAAACCCAGCCTTATCTGACCCCTACACAAAAAAAACACTGAGCCACAAGAAACATTTAAAAATTCTAGCTCCAGCCGTTTCGTCTGGGCGTTAATTCTCAGTCAGTCAGTTATTTCACTACTCTTTACTATATATAGATATAGGTATACCCTCTATTGCCCTAAGACTGATGATATAGTTTTAATTTCCCGATTGAAGTCTCGATAAACTCTGTATACTAAAATTTATTTTCTTCTTATTTTTAGATTTTGGCGACTTCCTAACTGGCTATCTCACGGGAAGACTATTAACAATGGGTCTATCGCCATACCCATATCATCAGCACATTACACATGTCTATCATGATCATCCGAATCAAGGAGGTACCCAGCAACCCACAAGCAACGCAGATGGCAAAGTTATCATTATCAATAATGGCCAAGACTCACCGGCAATATCAAGTACAACTTCCTCATCACCAAATAGCGCCGACACGACAACAGAAATTCCCGCCTCCTCATCCCCCTACGCTTTAGCCTATTCCTCATCAACGGAGAATATTGCCGCCACATTGTCAACAACACCACCGCCAAATGGCATCATTTGTGTACCCATCAAAATGAAAGAGAAGAACGCCAGCGGGGATCTTGTGGAAGTCGATAGAATTGTCTGTTACCCTGCACCACCGCCACCGGCCCACATACAAAATGAAATGAAATCGAAACCAGTGGAAATTGCTGGCGATATTGTCGATCATTGAAAGAAATTTTTTTATATATATGATTTTTTTTATTATATAAAAATATAATAACTTAATATTTATTATAGATTTATGAGGCGCGGAAATGTTTGTATTATTAATTGTAACACAGTGCGAATAATAAAGCTTTAAATATTTTATAATCTAAAGGAAAAAATAAATGAAAATGAAATATAAATGAATTAATTTTTATATTCTAATAGGTTGTGGAATTTCAATTGAGGTTTGCTGTTTAAAAAATCTTTGCGGAAATAGGAAGTCAGCTCTATAGTTCTGTATTCGGTATATTTATCAATGGTCCAACCGAATTTATAGATGTTCCTTATTGTCTGATGCCTTAAAGCATGCTTTAAATTTTGGAAATACCCCTTAGCTGTTTATGGTAAGCAGTTAAGAATAACAAATCACACTGTGCGACAAAATTTAATTTTATCAATAATTACGGGAAAAAATCCAGCAGATTATGAAAGTAGAGCTAACGAAAGAACACACATATATCGTCGTTTTGAAACTTTGCATCGCAAAATAACCTAAAAAGAGGGAAAAAGTTCCTCTCTCTACAACACTTTTGGGTGAGATGAAAAAACAACCAACTTCAGACTGCTGTCATTTCTAAGACTCTCGTCCGACAGCTGTTAAAATTATTCCAGTGATAGCTCATTGTATTGTTTACAAGCGTACAAAAGCATTTTAGTGAGAATTTTCCAGAAAAAAAAATATTTGGCTTGAAAACCACAAGTGGCTTTAGAAAACTCCAGCATTTAAATGTGAATACATCTTTTATGTCTCGTACTATGCTCGTTACCGTATTACTGGTAGCGTAGCCCGACGCCAAGGAAGTGGACGGAAGAAAACAGCAACATCAGCAGAAATGGTTCGAAAATTAAAGAAGCGACTAGATCCAAACCCACGTCGCATTGGCCGAAAAATGGCTCGTGAACTAAACATATCGCAATATTCCATTCGGCAAACATTAAAAAATGAGCTCAGGGTAAAGCCATTGAAATTCCAAAAAGTGCAAGAACTTACACCGCAACGGAAAGAAAATTGACTTAAAAGAGCCAAAAAGATGCTTCGCTTGGCCGTAAGCGGTGAACTGCCAAATTTGGTTTTCTCCAATGAGAAAAAAATCGACCGTGGCATCAGAATAAATGCCGAATATTATCGCGAAAATATTCTGGAGGTTGCGCAAACATTTTGGCCGCAGACCTTGGACATTCCAACAGGACTCAACACCATTGCATTCAGCACGCGCCATCCAAGAATGGTTACAAAATGAGGTTCCTAGCTTCATTTCCAGCGCACAATTGCCAGCAAAATCTCCGGATACCAATCCGTTGGACTATTTTATCTGGAGTATTTTGGAAAGCAATGTTGGCACTAAAAAATACCAAAGTGTGGATCATCTCAAGCAAGCACTTCACCGGAAGTGGGCCAAAATACCGCAGAGCAACATTCGGCCGGCGTGTGACGGTTTCATTGGCCGTTTGAAGGTCATAATTCGTGTCAAGGTCATAATTCGTGCCAATTCGAACAAATCTAAACTTATTCTAAAATTTAATGCTATTTCTGACATTTTAAAATAAAATAATTCCGACATTAAAAAAAAATTACAAAATTTAAAAATTATATCGTTTGACGTTATTACAGCTTTTTATCTCACTCTGCATATTACGAATGAGAGTGACTTAAACACCAAATCCGGTGAAACATATATATAGGAGCTATAGCTATATTTGAACTGATTTTGATTAACTTGCTTCTAGACTGAATTCGTTAGGATGTGGCAAAATTCAGGTCATTTGAACGCCATTTGGCGCAAAATTAACCCGTAATCTGTTGAGAGCTATATCCCAATTTGAACCAATCTTGATAAAATTTGGCAAAGGTATTTTCGGGCTGTATCTGATATCTGATTCTTGTGGGGTGCATATTACGACTGCGGGGGACTTAAACGCCAAATCGGATGAATCCTATATATGGGAGCTATAGCGATATCTGAACCGATTTGCTCCGCCCTTGCTTCTAGACTAAATTCGATCGGATGTACCAAAATTCAGGTCATTTGAACTGATGTTGGCCATTTGGTGCAAAGTTAACCTGAAATCGTTGAAGATATATAGGGGAGATATATCGAAATCTGATCCGATTCGTCTTTGGGTCAAAGAAATATTGTTTGGAAAATTGCAGCTCAATCGGATAATAAATGTGACCTGCATTATGTTCACAAGAATATATGGACAGACGGACTGACATGCATAAATGGACTCAGTAAGTGATTCTATGAAGTTCCTTAAAAGTAACTGAATCAAACGCACAAAGGCATAATACCCTTACCACTATGTGGTGTAGGGTATAAAAATAAATGATAATAAAAAATTAATTAAGTAATTATTACATTCCTATAGAATATGGTGTTTCTCTATTCGATATCTTAATAAATGGTTCAACCGAATCTATAAATGTTCCTTATCAACTGATGCCTAAAAGTATGCTTTAAATTCCCACAACTCACACAAAGTACGGCTTTAACCCGTACTAAATGTCTCATCAATATATATGATTTACTGGTGTTCAGGTAAGACTTATACTCCTGACATTTTGTGGCAAATAATTTTGTAGAATATTTTGACTTGCTACGATCCCTTTGTCGACTCGCTTAAGGGTTAAATTTTTCAATTCAATTCTACATACCAACTTTTATATTTTCGAAATACTTGAAACCAATGTTTTTTTACTTTTATTACATTTATTATTTTACATAAATACTAAAAACCTAAGAAAAATAAAAAAAAAACATTATTTCCCCCTTCGCCTCCTTTGGGTATTTGTCGATCGAACCACCGTTGACTCCAATGCTGGACGCATACGACACATAGCTCCCAAACCGTAAGGCCTATGTTTTGTTGTGCTCAAATAGAAAACACCTTTCTTACGTCGAGCCGGCTCACCACCCATAAAAACCTCCGCAGGGCATTCTTTCGACCCCGAGGGGCAGCCACATTTCTGTTCAATAACATTTCTATAGTTTTTACAACGTATCGCCCCAAAGGCATATGGATTTCTTAGAGATTCCGTAAAGTAATACAAAGACCCGAAATGATCGCAAGTAAATTTCGGTTCGGTAGCAGTGGCATTTGGACAATGTGGTTGCCCTAGCCCCCAGTTGGGGAAAAATGAAGCATGTCCCAAATCAGTGCCCCGATAACCGAATAACGCCGTATCCGTTTGTATCGATTCCACATACAGCGCAGCATCTGGGGTTAGGCGCCAATCTTTGGCAATGCTTTGATGTATTGGTCCCGCGGTGTCCAGGGCATAGATGACCCCATAACGTGATGGTTTCAACAATTTACCCGCTACACCGGCGACATGGCACCCGTAGCTGTGACCAATCAAATACATTTCTTCGAAGGGATAATTGGTGGTGTCGTGCAGAAACCGGGTAAAATCATTTATCTGTTCCGCAATATCAAATACTTCAGTTATCACTCGCAAATAGTTCACATCCAGCGAATAGTCACTGTAATCAACCAGAATGACATTAAAGTCTCCTATCTCCAGATAGGCATCTTTAATGGCTGCACTCGAACATGTTGTCGTCATGCCATTCCAACCGTGAATGGATATTCTGAAATTATTAAATAAAAATAAAATTGGTTAAATAAAGTATAGCCTGAGAGTCCGAAATTCTTTTGGGAAATTTGGAATAACCATGAAGCTCACAATACGCGAAGTGAGCATCCGATTCCTTTCAAAATCGGTGCATCTCAATATCTCTATCAACACAAAATCTGACGTGAATATGGAATATTTCGGTGCATTTTTCTGGTACCTCCCCCACAACCGAACAAATTTTGAACAATTACAGGGTGAGATAAAAAACTGCAACATAATCAAACGCCATAATTTTGACATTTTTTTTTAATTTCATTAAATGAAAGCAAAAAATGTCGGAAATAGCATCAAAGTTTAGAATTGTTCGAATTGGTCACCTTTGGCCAGAATTATGGACTTCAAACGGCCAATAAAACCGTAACATGCTGCCCGAATGTTGCTCTGCGGAATTTTGGCCCATTCCTGTCGAAGCGCTTGCTTGAGGTGATCGGCACTTTGGTATTTTTTAGTGCCAACCTTGTTTTCCAAAATACTCCAGACACAATAGTCCAACGGATTGGTATCCGGAGATTTTGGTGGCCATTGTACGCTGGAAATGAAGCGAGGAACCTCATTTTGTAACCATTCTTGGTGCAGAGTCCTGTTGGAATGTCCAAGGTCTGCAGCCAAAATGTTTGCGTGTCCAAGGCTTTAATACAGAATATTTTCGCGATAATATTCGGCATTTATTCAGATGCCACGGTCGTTTTATGTGAACGGAGAGCGACCATCGGCTATTATGGTGGCCCACACCATCACCATGGCCGGCGCTTGAGTTCTGGTGGCCAACCGAATGTGCACATTTTCAGCTGACCTATTTGGCAAGTAAACACGATTATTTTGTTTGTTTACAAACTGCTGGACAACGAATGTTTTCTCATCGGAGAAAACAAAATTCGGCAGTTCATTACTTTCGGCCGAGCGAAGCAACTCTTTAGCTCTTTTAAGTCTATTTTCTTTCTGTTGCGGTGTAAGTTATTGCACTTTTTGGAATTTTAGTGGCTTTACCCCGAGCTCATTTTTCAACATTTGCCTAGTAAAATATTGCGATATATTCAGCTCACGAGCGATTTTTTGGCCACTGCGACGCGGGTTTCGATCAAGTCGCTTCTTTACTCTCCAAACATTTTGTGCTGCTTTCTTCCGTCCACTTTCTTGAAGTCGGGCTACGCTACCAGTATCACGGTAACGAGGCATGGTACGAGTCACAAAAGGTTTATTCACATTCAAATGCTGGAGTGCTCTAACGCTAGCCACTTGTGGTTTTCCAGCCAAATATAAAGAAATCACACTATCGCACTTGAATTCCATCACGAATAAATTTTTTCCGGAAAATTTTTTCTCACCAAAACGCTATTGTGCGCTTGCAGCGGTCGGACGAGTGGCTTAGAAATGACAGCAGTCTGAAGTTGGATGCAGTTTTTTCATCTCACCCTGTAGAGTTCTTATCCAACTAATTAGCTAACTGTATATATCACAAAATATTTCTTAAAAGACACTTCACCTAAATATACGTAAATATATACAAACGGTAAATGCTGCTTAAAAGCACCTCTTTATTCCTTCTTTAACACAAGGAATATTTTTAAATATTTCCGCATATTTATATGCAATTCTGCAACTTAAATGTCGTCTACCAACAAATTTCTCAAGTTTGTGCCTTAAGTCTTTTGTTTTGCAAGAGCCTATATCATTATGATTGTTGCAACCCGTTCCCATTTTTATAGAATTTATATAAAAACAAGTAAGCAAAGGCTACAGTCGAGCGGGGCCGACCGTTGAATACCCTACAACACTATAATAAACCATACAGTTTATAATACTCGACAGAATCCCACAAGATATTGTGACAAATAATAAAAGAAAACCATCAGGTTTCGTTCTCTAATTTTCGAATAATAGCAACATAAACAAATTTCTCATTTCCAATTTATTGGTAGATGTTGCACTTAAATGGTCTTCCTAGATCTGGAACCAATATTTCCCAAAGCCCTATAATCTCTCAGAAGTGGCAAAAGATTAACATTTATTATTGGTTTTTGACTGAAACGCATCTATATGAGATACAGCCATTTGAATATATTCTTCAACTAAATCAGCGTTAACGAAATAGTCAGAAGTGCGTCTTTCCTGTATTTGTGAATTCTCCAAGAAGTCACTGTAATGGACATTTTCGTATTTTGTCGACAAAAGTTGGCAAACTATTTCACACATTGAATTTTTTTGGATGGCCATCCAAAACTGCTTGGCTTTTGCAATGTCCGGTAACCCCCATTCAAATGTGCGTGAGGATCGGGCGATAATTACGACCTGCCGACAATTTTGCAGTTTTTTGGTCCATTTCAACCCCTAAATATATAGCGATCATCTCCAAAAAGAGTAGACTTCTATTCTGACCCTCATCTTATCCCCATGCAAAAATTTAAAAGGATCGGGCCATAAATGATATCTGTATATGATATCCTGATATCCTAACTACTTAGTTTTGTTAGCTGTAGAAATATTACCAAATGTTTAATTCAAAATGAAAATATGCCAAAAATATGACAAAATTGAAAAAAATATGAAAAAATTTTACAAAATCAATATTTTCATCTTTAGAGAGATATTTTTATGCGATTTTTTTAGACGTTTTTTCTTTCCTGCCAAGAGGCCATTCTGAATTAATGAGAACTGTCGAAATCAGTTCAGCCGTTCTCGACATATAAGAGATCTTTCAAGCATATCTCCTTTGATAGACATATATATTGCACATATTTTGCTATATATCCGATTTGTTGGATAATAACATCAATGTAAAGGTCAGAAGTAACCTTGTGATGGCTTTGTGATTTCGCCGGGATTTAAAATATTCACGGTTTAATGAGTGGGCTTCTTCCCCGCCCTAAACTCTATCTACATGCGAAATTTCGCGTCGATTGGTCTATAATTGCGACCTGTATAGCTACTGCAAAATCCGACATTTTTTCAGTATTTGGTCCATTTCAACCCCTAAACATTTGGCGATCATCTCCAAAAGAAATAGGGTTCTATTCTGGTCCAAGCCCCACCTACATTCTAAATTTCGTGAAGATCGGGCCATAATTGCGACCTGTAGAGTGATTACAAATTAACATGGACAGACGGACAGACGGACGGACGGACGGACGGACATACATAGCTAGATCGACTCACTCGGCGAGCTAGGAAGACCCATATATACTTTCCTATGTGGGAAACAAATATTTCGAGGTGTTACATAATTTTTGGCCCAATCAAACTTATAATACCCCCAACACATAGTGTTGTAGGGTATAAAAATATAAAAAATCGAAATATTCAAAATATTCGTAAATTATTGCTATTGAAACCAAAAAACGATTGCAAGTTACAATTAAAATCAAAATAACACTCATCAACGGCACAACTGTAATTACAGCCATCAAAAGAAGACATAAAGCGTGTCATCACATACAAAACAGCAAATAAAATATTAAGGGCACTTACGAATAACAGTACACACACATATACATGCATGAATGAATACATTGCTATGCTCAAAACAACAAAGGGTAAACTGCAAACCCTAGAGCAAATAACAAACAATCCATTTAACACATTGCTTCCTCTTCTAGATGTTGAGTTCTTTTTTTGGCATATTTTTTCCACAGATTTTTATAACCCAACAGAGAACGTCTGCCAACACCATGACGACAAGCAGTCCTCCTGCATACCTACCTCACTGGCCATGCGACATTAAAATTGGACTCCGACAATCCCTTTTGATCGCCCGCTCTGAGCACTTGTTTCACGTTCGGATTCTTCCGTGTATACAAATCGAAACGAACATGTTTCTTTGTTGCCCGCAAATCTGGTGCGATCAGCTGACGAGCCTCTTTCGTCACGAGCGTTGCAATGAAATCCACCGTTAACGGTTCACAATAGCCCAACTGGTTCTTAACCACAACGACATTGTCACGAGCTGTAAGGGGAGATAAATAAAATGGGAATTTTGTTTTTTAATTGGTGGAGAGGATAACAAGTATCGCTTGTAAATCATCGTAGAGGGAACTCATTTTTTCACATAAATTTTAAGAATATTTTACTTTCTGTTTCGATCTAATCAAAATTAATCAAACTTTCAAAGAATTTTGTTGCTTCGACAGAAAGTACCTCCTAATGTTTTTATACCCTCCACCTTGGAAAGGAGGGTATATTAACTTTGTCATTCCGTTTGTAACATCCCTAAATATTCGTTTTAGACCCCATAAAGTATATATTCATAATCAGCATAAAATTCTAAGTCGATTTAACGATGTCCGTCTGTCTGTCTGTCTGTCTGTTGAAATCACGATACAGCCCACATTATTTGCCGTAGAGCTCCAAAATTTAGCAGAGCTATTTGCATTGTGTCTAGGATGGTTGGTATTGAAAATGAGATATATCGGTCCACGTTGTGGCATAGTCCCCATATAACGGTACCTCCCGATATTCGGTATTTTGATGATTTATGCCGAATTTTTTCACGGATTTGTCTTAAAATTGGTATTTGTAGGTCATAGCGGGTCCCTGAGCGTGTGGCAAAACATTGCATGTATAGGTCCACGTTGTGGTATAGCCCCCATATAAAGGTACCTCCCGATATTTAGTATTTTAGTTTTTTTTACAACATTTTTCACCAAATTTGTCTAAAAATTGGTATTTGTGGGTCATAATGGTTTCCAGCTCCGGTGGCGGAACATTGCATGTATGGGTCCATAATTTGGTATAGTCCCCATATAACGGTACCTCCCGATATTCGGTATTTTGATGATTTATGCCACATTTTTTCACGGATTTGTCTTAAAATTGGTATTTGTAGGTCATAGCGGGTCCCTGAGCGTGTGACAAAACATTGCATGTATAGGTCCACGTTGTGGTATAGCCCCCATATAAAGGTACCTCCCGATATTTAGTATTTTAGTTTCTTTTTACCACATTTTTTCACGGATTTGTCTGAAAATCGGTATTTGTTGGTCATAATGGGTTCCAGCTCCGGTGGCGAAACATTGTAATTATAGGTCCACGTTTTGGTATAGCCCCCATATAAAGGTACCTCCCGATATTCGGTAATTTGATGATTTTTGCCACATTTTTTCAGGGATTTGTTCGAAAATTGGTATTTGTTGGTCATAATTGGTTCCAGTTTCGGTGGCGAAACATTGCATGCATTGGTCCATGATTTGATATAGCCCCCATATAACGGTACCTCCCGATATTCGGTATATTGATGGTTTTTGCCACATTTTTTCACTGATTTGTCTAAAAATTGGTATTTGTGGGTCATAATGGGTACTAGCTCCGGTGGCGAAACATTGTAATTATAGGTCCACGTTTTGGTATAGCCCCCATATAACGGTACCTCCCCATAATCGGCATTTTAATGGTTTTTGCCACATTTCTTCTAATGTTTCTTTTGCCCTAAGGTGGAGGGTATTAAAAGTTTGGCCCGGCCGAACTTAATGTTTTTTTACTTGTTTTAAATATCAGGGTTATTTTCTGGTTGATTTGTTGTTAGTTTAGCATTTTTGAGACTCATATCTCGACGAAATCAGCAATCTCCAAATCTCAATCCTAGACACCAACTCTTATCGCAATATAAAATTTTACGGTTTTAGCTATATTTCTTCACCCAATACCAATGTAAGTACTATTTACAACTTTTTATACAATTATAGTACACATTTCAAAATCCACATCCATATCTCCATTCCAGATACCAACAGTAATTGTAAAATGAAATTACACGGTATAAGATATATCCCTTCACCTAATACCTAATTCAGTACCATTTATTAATTTTCTTTCAAATCTTTAACACGGATACCATCAGCAATCTAAATATCAAATTTCAAACTCTTATCTCTATCTCTTCACCCAATGTCAAATATAGTACCTTGAAGTACTTTTCGTAAAATCACCCTCATATGTCCAGGCTACAAATGTACCAAATTTCAGAGCAATACCGAATATAGTACTTTTTAGTACTCTTCGTGCATTTGTAGTACAAATTTCCAAAACCACCTCCATATCTTAACCATATTCTCCAACAGTGGCATCAATATTAAAATTCAGGATTCCAGCTCTATCCTTTCACCCAACACCAAAATTTAGTACTATTTAGTACTTTTCGTACAAATATAGAACTCATTTCCAAACCACTGCCAAATCTCAACCATCACTGATCTAAATTTCAAATTTCAGAATTTTATGTCTATCCCTTCACCCAATAACAAATATAGTACCATTCAGCACTTATCTACAATTATAGTACACAATTCCAAAACCACCTCCATATGTCCAGGCTACACATGACCAGCGACCCTAATACCAAATTTCTGATTTCAAGCACTATCTGTTTACCCAACACTAAATTGTACCAAATATAGTAAAGGGTGAATTTTTTGAGGTTAGGATTTTCATGCATTAGTATTTGACAGATCACGTGGGATTTCAGACATGGTGTCAAAGAGAAAGATGCTCAGTATGCTTTGACATTTCATCATGAATAGACTTACTAACGAGCAACGCTTGCAAATCATTGAATTTTATTACCAAAATGTTGGGAGAAAATCCGCTTTTTATCGACAAACTTTGTTCAGCGATGAGGCTCATTTCTGGTTGAATGGCTACGTAAATAAGCAAAATTGCCGCATTTGGAGTGAAGAGCAACCAGAAGCCGTTCAAGAACTGCCCATGCATCCCGAAAAATGCACTGTTTGGTGTGGTTTGTACGCTGGTGGAATCATTGGACCGTATTTTTTCAAAGATGCTGTTGGACGCAACGTTACGGTGAATGGCGATCGCTATCGTTCGATGCTAACAAACTTTTTGTTGCCAAAAATGGAAGAACTGAACTTGGTTGACATGTGGTTTCAACAAGATGGCGCTACATGCCACACAGCTCGCGATTCTATCGCCATTTTGAGGGAAAACTTCGGAGAACAATTCATATCAAAAAATGGACCAGTAAGTTGGCCACCAAGATCATGCGATTTGATGCCTTTAGACTATTTTTTGTGGGGCTACGTCAAGTCTAAAGAAGTCTACAGAAATAAGGCAGCAACTATTCCAGCTTTGGAAGACAACATTTCCGAAGAAATTCGGGCTATTCCGGCCGAAATGCTCGAAAAAGTTGCCCAAAATTGGACTTTCCGAATGGACCACCTAAGACGCAGCCGCGGTCAACATTTAAATGAAATTATCTTCAAAAAGTAAATGTCATGGACCAATCTAACGTTTCAAATAAAGAACCGATGAGATTTTGAAAATTTTATGAGTTTTTTTTTAAAAAAAAAAGTTATCAAGCTCTTAAAAAATCACTATTACTATTTTATACTTTTCGAGCTGTCTCTTCATCACACACCTACCACCAACAGGGACTCAATTTTAAATTTCAGCTTCATCCGTTGATCTTAAACAAAAGTGTTCCAAATTTAGTACCATTTAGTGCAGTTCGCACACTTGTTACACATTCCAAAACCTGTATGAGAAGTTTGATCTCATACCGAATTGTGAGTTTTTAGGTCTATCTGTTCACAGCTCTATTACGTTCAATACCAAATGGTACAATTTAATAAGTTTGGTACGATTTTAAATTTCGAATTTCCAAAAACCCTTTGGTACATTTATTCTGCATATATTGTTCATCCGATTTGTTATTTTTGTGCTCCGCAACCGTAATATGCACTCAGTAACAACAATATTTGGGGAAATATATCAAATACAGCTCAGAAATACATTTGCTAAATTTTATCGAGATCGGTTCAGATTTAGATATAGCTCCCATATATAACTTCGTCAGATTTACCTTTTATTGTGCACCAAACGTGTAATATTTGTCCAAAGGGGATGGAATTTGGCACTTATGACCGAATTGAGTCTAGAAGCTAGTATGTCAAATTTGGTGAAGATCGGTTCAGATATAGCTATAGCTCCCATATATACTGTTCATCCGATTTGTTATATTTGTTACCCACAGCCTTAATATGTACTCCGTAACAACGATATTCAGGGAAATATATCAAATACAGCTCAGAAATAAATTTGCCAATTTTTATCAGGATTGGTTCAGATTTAGATATAGATCCCGTATATATAAAATGGGCAATACAAGTCCGAATTTAAAAGATACAAATGCTTCGGCATATTTAGTCTTTTGAATGTGTTTAGTCTTTTGAATATGTGGAGCTCTACTAAATTAGCAGAGTGTTGTAAGGTATCATAAAGTCGACCCCACCCGACTTTAAGACTTTCTTTACTGGTTTTAATTTTTAGTACATTTTAGCAATTTTTTTACCTTTTAGTACGAATTTCCAAAACTTACACTCCCACCGCACAATTTCGGATTTGTATATTTTTACGCAGTATTTTGGACTCGAAATAGATTTGGAAAATTTAGTACATTGAGTGTAGTCCGAACACTTGGTACACATTTCCAAAACCTTCATATATCAAACTGCAAGTTTTCAGCTCATGTTCAATGCAAAATGGTAAAATTTAAGAAGTTTAGTACGATTTCGGATTTCCAAAAATCCTTTGGTACATCAATACTTCACTCCATCGGTAACTCCAATACAATATATTCAATTTTTAGTGCATTTCAGTACTTTTCTTTACCTTTTTGTACAAATTTACAAAACTTACACACCCAAAAATTTTGGACTGTCTTCGAGAATTATCGTGGACACAGGCAGACAGCCAAACAGACTGACTTGACTAAATTGACAACAAATATTTTTAAATGGATCTAATCGTCCAAAGAGACCTAAGATCTAAAACCATTATTTCGATGAGGCACATTTTGGAATTACCTATTGATATATTTCCTCTGTAGCTGTTATACTGAAGGTATAAAAATTGAGAATATATATGTACTAGCAAATATTCTCTACTTATTGTTCGAAATTAAAAAAAAAAACCTTTTGTCCGTCTATTCTACACAACATCAAAGACCCTCATTGCCAGTTTCAGATTTCCAATTCTATCCTTTCCCCAAATAACATATTGAATACCATTTAATGTTTTTTGCACTCTTTTAGAAGATATTTCCAAAACGACCTCCATATCTCAACCCCACCTCACATTGCAGATTTCCAACCCTTCCTCATATACCAAATTGAGTACAATTTAGGACTTTTCGTACATGTTTCCAAAACCACCCTCAAATCTCAATCCTACACACCAATAGTGACCAAATACCAATTTTAAAATTTCAGTTTCATCCGTTCGCCCAAACCCAAATTGTACAAAGTTTAGTAAAGTTCTTCCACTAAATGCACATTTTCTAAGACACCTTCTACTCGATAAGATTTTACCTCTATCCGTTCACATAATACAAAGTGGGTTTGAAGTACTTTTAGTACACTTGCAGTTCAAATTTCCAAAAAAAAAAAAACTTTGTTTCATTTATCCCACACCCCGTCAGCGACCATCATTCCAAACTTCAGATTTCTAGCTCTATCTACCTTTTACGTTTTTAGTACATTTAGTACCCAAAAAATTCGAATTTCCAAAAAACCCAGCCCCAAAATTCTAGCTACAGCCGTTTTGCCTGAGCGTTGATGAATCAGTAAGTCGCTCACTCCGTCGTCACTTAAATATTTTGAAAAATTAATCTGTTATAACAAAAATATCCTTTAAACATAAAAAATGTAGTTCCGATGACCAAACAAAAATTATTCTTAAACCTGTAAGGAAATGTGAAAAGTCGTGAGGGCCGACTTTATGATACCCAACAACACTATGCGCATTTAGTAGAGCTCACGTAACAAAATTTTTATATTGGCAACCAAATAACGTTGCTGTATAGTGCATGATATGACTTCGATATTGATTTATTGAGGCAATAGATATACCGAACCGAGCTTCGCCAAATGGAAAAATTCGGTTGAATATGAAAAACTCTATCAAATTTGGGCTGATGAAGATGTATAGTGAAGGTATATACAAATTTGAACCAATCTCGATGAAATTTGGCCAAGGTATTTTCGAGCTGAATCTGATGTCTGGTATCTAATTTCATTGTTGTGGAGTGCCTATTACGCATATGAGGGAATTTAACACCAAATCGGATGAAACATATGTATGAGAGCTATAGCTATATCTGAACCGATTTTCACCAAAATTTGAAGCGCTTGTTTTTAGGCTGAATTCAAAAAAAAATAAAATTCAGTCCATTTGGGCTGATAGACATTTGGTGCACAAAAATCCTGAAAACGGACAAAGATATTTATGGGAGCTATATCCAAATCTTAACTGATCTTGACAAAATTTATAGATATATCTGAACCGATTTTCACCTAAAATATGAAGTACTTGCTCCAGGCTGAGTTCCGTCAGAAGTGGCACTTCTGAGCTGATATAAGCCATTTGGTGCACAATAGGTTTCGTCCTTTCGACGTTCGTTTTGGCCTCTTTAGCCATTTGATTGAGGATATAAATATTCTCCAAAAACCACGATGATCCAAAAAAATATACATTTTCTTTAAAAATGCAGCTTTAAAGGTCCAGCCTTAAAGATCCACGACTAAAATCCTGCTATTCAATAATCCATATACATTTCTTGGTCAGCTAGTCCTTGAGCTAATATTCTTTAAAATTAACATTTATACTCATGCTACCCTGTCACTTTTACCTTCTAAAATTGCAGTGTTCGTAACTAATACAAACACTAATAATATCATCATGTACACTCTGTTATTAATCTACCACAACCATTTAGCCGTTAGATTTTAGTAACACAAATTTATACAAAACGCCAACCAAAATATTTTTCACTTAATAATTGTTTTTCTATTTTTCATTAGACCACATATTTTAAATTATAGACAAATTGCAAAACAAGCATAGGGGTTAAGTGATGCACAAAAACTGAGGAATAGATTTTTAAAATGTTTTTCGTACTTAGCCCACAAAATAAAGTATCTGTTCTAAGTCGTTTGTTTTGCGGGTTACTGACATACAGCATTAAATGCATCTTAACACATATATAAATGGCCAACACCATAACAAGGTTGGATTTATTAACTAATATTTTTATTTATTCGAATTAAGTTCAATTTTTTTTATTTGAATACCAACCCCAACACTTTGCTATCAAGATCACAGAGAAAATTAAACACAATCGTTTTAACATTTTTCCCGATTTTTGTAAAATTTTCTTCAAACTGCCAGATTTTGGTGGGTTGACAAATGCGTGCGTATTGGATGTTAACCCGGCTATGTCCTGTCGATAACTAACCTTGCCACTGGAATAGAACAAAAGTTTTATAAGATTCTTGGTAATGATGAAACATCACCTTCACCACCACCAACAACAACAATAAACAAAAAACAGCATACTTGGAGTAGAACCTGTCAAGAAACAATGAATGGGGAAGAGTTTTTTTAGAATCAGAGCAAGGTCATGATCGTATCAGAAATGGAGCTACATGCTACGTGAAAACAATTAAAATGCAACTTAAATACAAAATATATATTGAAACGTATGTGGATGGGATGAAATAGGACAGGGAGGGGAGGGTTGCCTCAGATATATTCTCTTATAAATAAACCGTTTTAATTAATTCATTTAAAAATGTGTTAACTTTAAGAAAAGTTCCATTCACAATTCAAAATCTGATGCATAACTGAGAAGATGGGGTCGTAGAATTTTTTGGAATTCTTAAAACATATTTCTTATAGAAGAGCAGAAGAAGGTCTTCTCATATAAAGAGCAGAAAAAGGTCTTCGCATAGAAGAGCAGAAGAAAGTCTTCTCATAGAAGATGAATAGAAGGTCTTCTCATGGAAGAGCAGCCGAGGAAGCTCTTCTCATAGAAGAGCAGCCGAAGAAGCTCTTCTCATAGAAGAGCAGCCGTAGAAGCTCTTCTCATAGAAGAGCAGCCGTAAAAGCTCTTCTCATAGAAGAGCAGCCGAAGAAGCTCTTCTCATAGAAGAGCAGCCGAAGAAGCTCTTCTCATAAAAGAGCAGCCGAAGAAGCTCTTCTCATAGAAGAGCAGCCGAAGAAGCTCTTCTCATAGAAGAGCAGCCGAAGAAGCTCTTCTCATAGAAGAGCAGCCGTAGAAGCTCTTCTCATAGAAGAGCAGCCGTAAAAGCTCTTTTCATAGAAGAGCAGCCGAAGAAGCTCTTCTCATAGAAGAGCAGCCGAAGAAGCTCTTCTCATAGAAGAGCAGCCGAAGAAGCTCTTCTCATAGAAGAGCAGCCGAAGAAGCTCTTCTCATAGAAGAGCAGCCGAAGAAGCTCTTCTCATAAAAGAGCAGCCGAAGAAGCTCTTCTCATAGAAGAGCAGCCGAAGAAGCTCTTCTCATAGAAGAGCAGCCGAAGAAGCTCTTCTCATAGAAGAGCAGCCGAAGAAGCTCTTTTCATAGAAGAGCAGCCGAAGAAGCTCTTCTCATAGAAGAGCAGCCGAAGAAGCTCTTCTCATAGAAGAGCAGCCGAAGAAGCTCTTCTCATAGAAGAGCAGCCGAAGAAGCTCTTTTCATAGAAGAGCAGCCGAAGAAGCTCTTCTCATAGAAGAGCAGCCGAAGAAGCTCTTCTCATAGAAGAGCAGCCGAAGAAGCTCTTCTCATAGAAGAGCAGCCGAAGAAGCTCTTCTCATAGGGTCTTCCCAAGGGTCTTTTTATTGAAGAGCCGAGGATATTCTTATACAAGACCCGAGGGTATTCTTATAGAAGACCCGAGCGTATTCTTATGGAAGTCCCGAGGAAGAAGAAGACCCGAAGGTCTTCCTATTGAGAAACAGAAGGTCTTCTTATAAAAGACCCGAAATCCTCCTTATAGAAGACCAGAAGGTCTTCTTATAGAAGACCAGAATGCCTTCTTATAAGAAACCTGAAGATCTTCTCATAAAAGATCCGAAGGTCTTCTTATAGAAGACCCAGAGGTATTCTTATAGAAAGCCCGGAGGTGTTCTTATAGAAGATCTGAAGGTATTTTTGTAGAAGACGCGAAGGTTTTTTTTTATAGAAAACCCGATGTCTTCTTATAGGAGACCCGAAGGTCTTCTTATGTAAGACTCGAAGGTCTTCTTATAGAAGACCAGAACTTCTTCTCATAGAAACCGGAAGTTCTTCTTTTAGAAGACCGGAAAGTCTTCTTAGTTGGACCAGTTAGTTTATCTCAAGAAGACTAGTTGGTCTTTCTATAGAAAACTATTTCGTATTCTTATTCAAGGTCTTCTCGTTCCACAGTCATAGGACCACTGTACTTTTTCTCAAAATCAGGTTTAATGTCAACCGTTATTTATATTTTTTGTTTATACATAATTTTTTTTTTTTTTTTTTGTATCCATAAATGATGTGAAGTCCACTTAACCGCAAATTGTTTGTTTCGTAGTTCAATTCAATATCGCTGATGAGCCTCATTACACTGACCTGCCTACCAAAATCTGATTTTAGCCTTTACATTTGTTAAGTAAATAATACGTTATTAAAAGTCAGACTACAGCACTCGCACTACGTCATCATGCGTCAATGGCAGGGCAATGCACCCAAGGCATTGAACGTAAAAGTGACATAATGCAAAGATTGAATAAACTTTTGAACTAATTTTTTATTCAACATTTATTATTAAATAATATGAGGGGACAAAATTCAACCAGGTTTGATTTATGACGATCGTTAAACTAAACCTTAGATACGAAGCACATTTACGCAGTAAAGTAGAATTCTTATGTTTTTTTTAATCGTAAAATAAATTAACAAATGCCAATGATGTTTCATTCATCCTTTTTTTTCATATTTTTACACACCTATCAACTTTGACAAGCCCCCTGGTTTTACGCATCTTAACTAAACAGCCCATTTACTTTGTTCTTCCTCATGCAAGCGCATCATTTCTGGTTTTCGATTTGTATTGATTTTAATGAGCCCACATTTAAATAATTCCATTCCATAAAGAAGTGATAAATGGCAATTGCAACTGAACTTGTTTTGCCTTGTTTAGCGAGTCCAGTAGTTTTCCTTTCACTCCTAGGATGAAACAAAAATGACATCAAGGAATTTCTTATTGGTATGTACAACAGAAAAAAATCTTGTCGAAGGGTGGTCAGTGGGACAAAAAAAGGCAGGATTCGAAATATACTATGCGATGTGGGAAATGAAATTATTATTACTCAAAAATTTGATTTTTAGTAGGGAAGGCGCTAAAAGTAGTAAGAGAAATTCACATTTTTTTCTCTGTTGAACTGAGCTTTTGAAAACATTGCGCGATACAAAATTAAGACTATTCAATTGTTCTTAAAAATTTCTAACTTTTTTTTAACTTTTCGTCGTATCAAAACAACAAAACAAAAATCAGTTTTCTTTCAAAAACCCAGTAAAGAATGTCCTAAAGTCGGGCGGGGCCGACTTTATGATACCCTACACCACTTTGCTAATTTAGTAGAGCTCCACATAACAATTAAAAGGATTTATGGGAGAATTCAATCATACACGCTATAATTATAATTTAAAGTTGAAAGAACTAAATATGCCGAAGCATTTGTATCTTTTTAATTCGGACTTGTATTGCCCATTTGGTGCAAAATTAATTTGAAGATATAGATATATATGGGAGCTATATCCAAATCTGAACCGATCTCGATAAAATTTGGCAAAGATATTTCTGAGCTGTATTTGTTATATTTCCCCAAATATTGTTGATACAGAGTGCATATTACGGCTGCGGAGGACAAAAATAACAAATCGGATGAACAATATATATGGGAGCTATAGCTATATCTGAACCGATCTTCACCAAATTTGGCATACTGGCTTCTAGACTCAATTCGGTTATATGTGCCAAATTCCATCCCATTTGGGCAAATATTAGTCGTTTGGTGCACAATAAAAGGTAAATCGGACGAAGTTATATATGGGACCTATATCCAAATCTGAACCGATCTCGATAAAATTTAGCAAAGGTATTTCTGAGCTGTATTTGATATATTTCCCCAAATATTGTTATTAAAGAGTGCATATTAGGGCTGCGGAGGACAAAAATAACAAATCGGATGAACAATATATATGGGAGCTATAGCTATATCTGAACAGATTTCGATCAAATTTGGCATACTTATTTTCAGGCCTATTTTGGTTGTATGTGCAAAATTCCATACTATTCGGGCTGATATAAAAAGACAAATCGGACGTAGATATATATGGGAGCTATATCTAAATTTTTACCGATTATCTCCAATTTCAATAGGGTTCGTCTTTGGGCCAAACAAATGCTATTTGGAAAATTTCATCTCAATCGGATAATAAATGCGACCAAGAATACATGGACAGACGGACGGACAGAAGGACGGAATTACATGCATAAATCAACTCAGAAAGTGATTCTATGGAGATCCTCAAAAGTATCTATGGGTCTATCTCGCTTCCTTCTCCATGTTACAAACAAATGCATAAAGACATAATACCCTGACCACCTTGTGGTGTAGGGTATAATCAGCATCGGACAAAATACCACGCCAGTGCGACATCTAGCGCCGGATAGTTAAGGTGGTATTATGTGAAGACTGTGCCATCTAGTGAGAAGTAGATTATTAATTTTAAATGTAAACAAAGACCAAAGACATAAAACTATAAAGATTGGATTGAATCGAATATTTATAACCAATTTTATGCGAAATCATAAATTCCATATTCATCTCAGATTTCTGGTTGAAAGAAATATTTGGATATAGCAAGTTGTAAAGAATCGCTGACTTTTTTCGCATGTTAAGACAGATAAAAGTATTAAAAATTGTGACCCTTTGTAGGTGAGGCCCCAGAAGGGGCTGGCAGATGTAAATCATCTTCACAACAGATCTTGTGTTAGCAAAAATTTTTGTGTGTGTGAAATTTGAAGAGAATTGGATGCTTATTTCACCTTTTTTGAGCGTTTTGTTTTTCAAAATCTTGAACCCTATGTGAGGGAGGTACCAAAAGAGATGGTCCGATCTGTACCATCTTTATAACAAATCTTATATTGATGGAAATATTGAGATGTACTAAGACTGAATGGAAACGGATGTTGATTTCGCGTTTTATGAGCTTTATGATATTCAAAATTTTGAAACTTTGTGTGGGCGGTACCAGAAGGAGTGGACGGACATACCCCATTTTCACACCAGACCTTGGGTTAATAAAAATATTGTGATGTGTGTAATTGGAGACAATCGGACTCTTACATCACATTCTATAAGAATGGGGAAAAGGGGGCGTGAAATGATGGAGTAGGCCGATATTGTCCATTTTCACACCTGACATAGCACTAATACAAATATTAGGATTTGCAAATTTTACACTAAATTAGATGACCCCTTCCAGCGTGTCAAGGTCCCCTTAGGACATTCAAATACTAAATTTAAAACAATTCCGATGAATAATGTCGCTGATATTATCAAAATACCAAAAAAAATTGAGGTACCGTTATGAGTGGGTCATACGAAGACGTGGAACTACATAGACAATTTTCTGTCATAGGTTGGGTATCCATTATGAACTACAAAAACGAAATTTGAAATAATTCCAAAGAATATTGTCGCCAAATTAAATTGCCTACTGGCAAAATACTAATGTGTGCAAAATGTCAGTCTTCTATCTTAATTCATTCAAAAGATCGTGATTACAACAGACAGATAGACGCATATCGCTAAATCGACTTCGAATTTTACACTGATCAAGGATATAAATACTTTGTTGGGTCTGACATGAGTATTTCTAGAAGTTACAAACGGAATTACAATATTAATATACAATCATTAGTATGCTGGAAGGTATAAAAAATCCGTTGAAAAAAGACATCTAAAATTATAAAAATACCGAATATCGGGTAGTACAGTCCTATACAAAAGTGTGGGCCTGTATTGTCATCTATCTGCCAGGGAAGGCATTAACTGAACCTAAAAATAGCAATTTTGAGACAATTTCATTAAAAATGTAAAGTCGGAAAAATCCTGAATGCCGAAAGGTGTCATTCCATATTAGGAAGTGATACTCATTTCGAACTCCAAATACCGAATTTGAAAAAATATATACGAAATGTGACTAAAATTGTGAAAATATCGAATAGGTAGTACAGTTATATGGAGCCTATGCAAAACTATGGATCTACATACATAATTTTCTATCAGAGACCATAGTATTTATTGTCTAATACCAACATTAATAATCCCGCTACGATCGGCTTTGTGTAACAAACAACACAGCAAGTACATGTTCCTGTTCGTTAATTTTTCTGATGTGAGAGCAACACTACCCAGAATGTTTGCTCCGAACTCGCTTGGTCTAAGCCGGGAATAAGGCCAACACCAGACTATGGTTCTGCTTCGTTTGTCGTAATCGCGTCTTTAACCGGATACATTAGTATAGCTATAGGGACGTACTGCTTCCTGCTGCGCCAATGTAGACCCCCAGTGGGTAATCACCTTCCACTCCCTGCAATCTCCACAACAGCAATTTATGCAACAGTTGACGCCACACACTGCTTTTGAAGTTCAAGATGATGCATCTTTACTCCACAGGTACAGTTATACGGCGACTGTACCAAAACTTTGGCATATAGATTGTTCTCTGCAAGGATATTTCCTATACACCGATAACACAAACTGTAAATTTACAACAAATTTGGCTTAACATATTGACTGAACCATTAAGATTTTCCAGTACGATATTTGAATAATTCTATAATTTCTCTAAAATCATCAAAATACCGAATATTGAGTGGTACCGTTATATGGGGGGCTATAGGAAAACGTGGACTGACATAAGAATAAAAAATATCCGTTGAAATTAGAGCATTTAAAAAAAAATCCGAGTCATTTGGTGGCGAAACCAAAATGTGAACCAATATGGTCCATTTTCAATACATCTGAATAAAATGTTATCACCTTCTTAATTTCGTTCGGATGAAGAAAGTATATATATATTGTAGGGTCTGAAATGGATATTCTCAAGTCTTACAAACGGGAAGACACACATAATACAACCTCTTGCGGAGGGTACTATGGTGGAGGGTAAAAAAACAAAATGTCGAAAAATGTCTCATTATGGGGGTCCACAAAATATATACAAAATACAAAATATATGCCAAATTATATCTGAACCTCTAACCATCCCGCAATGGTTTATTACATAATCTTTCTTGAATACAGTGATATAGGTATTTGAAACCGTACAACCCGATTCTGTTTGGTTCCTTAGAATAGATAGGGATTTTTATAAGATTCAAATGATAGTTATATTTCCTATAACGATTCTGTAGATCATATTGAGTTATCTATCACATATTTAAGAATGGGCCTCAGTTAGGCATTCCATTTAACCTCATACATGAATTTTTCAACTTTTTTCAACAGAATTGGCTGTACATTCAAATATGAGGTATTAATTGAGTAGATGCGCTCCTTATTGCAATTTTAAATCTTGTCCCCACATAAAAATTATGCATGATTTAATATAATTTTAATTATGGCTGTGAAGCACAATAGGCTTACAGTCCGCCTTAAGCTATTTTGCAAGTGTGATGCTTTATATTCCAAAAATGCTACTCTTTATAAAATATTTAAAATTTCAAGTTTCTCTTATGGTAGGGACCGCCTACTATGAACTTTGCTAAAACTCCAAGTTTGTAATTTAATTCACAAATAATAACACGTTTTTGAGTTGATGGTTTTTTTAAGTAATTTGTTATATTGAATTGGTTTTATGTTTCTTTTTAGTTTATTTTCTGAATATAATTTGGATGCTTCTTTAAAACTTGCTGTTTCTTAATATTTTTCATTTGTTTACATAGATTTATTTTGTTTATTGATAAACTGCATTATTGGTGTTAAAACAACATAAAAATATTGTAGTTTTTTTGTTTTTCAAATTTATGTTGTATTTTTGTTTGAGTAGTCTAATCAAAATGTATTTTTCTTAATTTCATGTTTCAATTTTTTTCTGTTTTGTTGATTTACCTTATAAGGAAATTCTACTATCCTTAAATACAAAATACACAAGTTGTTTTCTTTATATGTTATCATTTTTTTAATTCGAAAAGAATTTTTTAGATGCTAGAAAATAGGTCAGAAAAAAAGAATAAACGCAAATTTGCAAAAACTGCACTTTGAAAGGCCAGGCATTAAAAGATGTTAAAATAAAAATAGAAGAAAATTATTATGTTTAAATAGTCTAACTTTATTTTATTCTGGTTTTTGTTGTTTTTCTTTTTATTAAATATATAAAACATTAAAATTGCAAAAAGAAAATAGTAACGAGAGTGGATAGAGATAAAGTGGTGGGGGGAGAAGACAAATTAAAATATATTTGAGATAGTAAAATGTTAAACAATTTCTGCTGTTTCGTTGTAATTAGACTTTGTTTGGGTGGGGGTGGGGCACCAACAAGGGGAAGCGATATAGAATAAAAAAACACAAATACATATGTAAACAGGGCAGTAGATACAAAACAAACAGCATTTGTTGAATTCTTAACATAAAACAAACAAAAAAACAGCGGGCATGTTTTCAGAGAACAGAAGCGTTTACGCCCACTTCTTGGAAAGAAACATTTTTGCAATTACACATATACAGCAGTGGCAACGGCGACAGTTGATCATCATTTACTTATTAAAATTATTTGGGTTTTTCTTTTGTTGTTGTTGTTGTGGATGAATTTATAAAATATTTATTTTATATTTTTACTTAATATAGTTTAGCAGTTTGTTTTTGTATTATTATTTTTGTGTTTGTAAGTAATTATATTCTTGATGGTTGGCTTTTGTTTGTTTTTTGGACAACTAAAACTAAATGTGTTATTAATTTAAAGTTATCAAAATAAATTTTAAAGCGAAATAAATTTTGAACCGTACACGACAAAAGGAAATGCCTTTCCTCGCGTGGCTGGATGATTTGTTTTTCTCCACAATGCCAAAAGGATGAAATATTTCACTTTAAGATCATTTTGAAAAACATACAAATTAATAGTTTAAAATAATAAAAAATAGAGGAGAGTGAAGGACAAAAAAAGTAAAATTTTAAAATTATAACTAAAAATTACGCGGTTTTACACTTTTTAGCACACGGTGGCTGAGGCAGCTGCTGCAGGTCAGCTTCTAGTCAATTGATGTTCAAAGGTTTAGCCTGTTCCCATGGGAAAACGTTACGGCCGAAATGGCCATAAGTACTTGTGCGCTGGTAAATGGGTTTCTTCAAGTCGAGATCCCTGCAAAACATGAATAGCAAAGCAATTAATTAGATGGATCCCTCCAAAACAGAATTCAATTCCAATTTGCACTTACTTGACAATTTTGCCGGGTCTCAAGTCGAAATTGTTTCTAATGATTTCCAACAATTCCTTTTGTGTTTTGTGAGAAGTACCATAATCGAAGACTGTAATGGACAGGGGTTCGGCCAAACCGATGGCGTATGACACTTGAACCAAACAACGTTTGCACAAACCAGCCTTGACCAATGATTTGGCTACCCAGCGAGCTGCATAGGCTGCGGATCTGTCTACTTTAGTGTAATCCTTGCCGGAGAAGGCACCACCACCGTGAGCACCCCAACCACCATAGGTATCGACAATGATCTTACGACCAGTCAAGCCGGCATCACCCATTGGTCCGCCAATAACGAACAAACCGCATGGATTGATGTGTACAATTGTATTGGCATCGAAATATTTGGCGGGAATGACTTCTTTGACAACTTTGTTCATCACCTCTGTACGTAAATCCTCGAGTGTGATCTTCTCGGAGTGTTGCATGGAAATGACAATGGTGTGGACACGCTTGGGTACGGCGGCACCTTGATGGAACGAATATTCGCAGGTGATCTAAAAAGGAAGGTGGATGAAGAATATTTTTTAGTCTGTAGAATAGCTTTAGTAGGTTTTCTATGTATTGTGGAACAGAAGAGGTTTAGGAGTTCTTCTATGTATAGAAGAACTTTAGAAAGTCTTCTATCTATTTAAGAACTTTAAGAGGTATTCAATCTGTAGAACGGCTTTAAAAGGACTTTTGTGTATAGAAGAGCTTTGTAATATCTTATATGTGTAGGAGAACTTTGGAAGATCTTCTGTGAATAGAAGAGCTTTAAAAGGTCTTGCATATATAAAAAAGCTTTAACAGGTTTTCCACCTATAAAAGAGCTTTAAAAGGTCTTCTATGAATAGAAGAGCTTTAGAAGGACTTCTATGCATAGAAGAGCTTTAGAAGGTCTTATGTGACTAGAAGATCTTTAGAAGGCCTTCTTTGAAAAGAAGATATTTACAAGGTCTTCTCTGAATAGAAGAGTTTTAGGAGGTATATTCGGAATAAAAGAGCTTTAGAAGGTCTTCTATGAATAAAAGAGCTTTAGTAGGTCTTCTATGAATAGAAGAGCTTAGAAGGTCTCCTTTGAATAGAAGAGCTTTAGAAGGTCTTCTATGAATAAAAGAGATTTAGAAGGTCTTCTAAGAATAGAAGAGCTTTAGAAGGTCTTCTATGAGCTTTAAAAGATATTTCAACAGAAATGAAGATCTTTTAAACGTGTCCAGAGAAACACAGCTGAATGTGCAGGAACAAGGTCCTCAAGGCGCTAGCCGTCAGCACTTGGGGTACGGACAAGAAACCTTGTTGACCTCTTATAACGCGATAGGTCGGTCTGTGGTCAGCTATGCGGCTCCAGTGTGGTCTGTGAATACTAGTGCTAGGCAGTGGAAGCACATTCAGACCTGCCGTGAGAACTGCGATAGGGTGCCTCCTCATGACATCAGTGGACCATCTACATGAGGAGGCGAAAGTCCTTGCTTCACTGCTTCAACAAAATAGAAGGTATTTTATCTTCAGATCAGAGTCATCGAAATCTGGACGCTTTTGAACTACAATTTATTTTCCAAATCTCCTTTACGGAACTTATGAATGCTTATGGTTCTTCTTCATCCCTATGACGCTTAAGTCGTCAATGAAAGGCGGTTTTATTTTGCCACGGCTATTTTTTCGTGCTGGACTCTATCGCTGCCTTTACTATATTTCTACTTTTTTAGGTTAAACACAATTGACCGCTGATCTTTGAGTAAAGGGACTGACTGATTTCATGCATCGAAACCCTTGCCCAAACTTATTTTGTATATATAATTTTTTTTCGGCAGTTATCCTCGTCTTTCAGATCAAAGGCATAAAAAGCTTGGCTCTTCTGCCACAATATCTTTTCTATCGGATGATGGATCTTCCTCCAGTCCTGTGGCGCTTTGTTTTCGCCACCTGTTTTTCTCCTTTCGGCACTATATCGCTTTTTCCCTCTTTTATTTCTAATTATTCGGGTTAACACAATGGACTGTTGATCTACGAGTGAAGTACTTGACCAATAAAAAGAAGGCAGTGGGTCCCTGTAAAAATTTTATGAATTATTAAAATGATTTCCTTACCTGTGTTTTAGAATCAGGACGTGCCCACCAGAAAGCACCATTACGGCGCAACTCGGCGATTTTCTCGTTCAATTTGTGTGCCAATACCACGGTCAAGGGCATGCATTCTTCAGTTTCATCGGTGGCATAACCGAACATAATACCCTTTATATCAGGAAGGGGAGAAAAAAGGGAAACGTTAACAAAAATTCAGCAAGATAAGATGTTAACTTATAGATAAATACACAAAAATAATATTGTTGTGAATTCTGATTGTTATTTGTGACAGGAGTTAGAGTTATTTGCCTGATATCAATCAGATACCACAACAAAAATGTTATTAACTACACAAGAGATTAGTAAAACAAATTAAAGCATAAAGCAGATGAAAGAAAGCCATGACAGATGGATTGATTAATAGGAAATGAAGAATTAGTAAATATTACATTTTATTAAACTAAACACTAAAATTTCCAACACCATGATAAATGAAATTTGAATGGTTCGATTTTGTGAGACATTAAAACTACAATATTTTTTTTTGTCTTTTAAAATCGAGCCACAAAACGAGAATTCTATTCAAACCAATATCCAGATATTATTATGATATACATTTTTGTTTTTGAGAAATTTGGAATTTTGGGAAACTAATTTTGAAGATTAAAAACTAAATATTACAAACACCAGGAATGGAAAAAGTAAATATCTAAGTTATGAAAACTTGTTATTTTCATAGGGAATTTTGAATCGAAATCTAAATCGAAATTAAATCAAATTTAGATTTTTTCTGTAAGAAATAACAAGTCTTTTTGTTGTGTTTCTAGGTAATGAGTGATTTAAAAAAAGTGAAGATGAGTGTGCATTGGCAAAAGAAAAAAAAATCGAATTAAGAAAAAGTGTATCAACAACCGAATATCATAAAGACGACAGATATAGGGCTAGCTAAAAAGCGGGCCTAGTTAGAAAAAAAAACTAAAAAAGAAGAGTCAGTTACAAACAAGGAAAATTAAACAGTTCTTCTGTACAAAGACGTGTAAATTGTTTCTATTTTTGCTAAGTGTTGTTTTGGAATATTTTACATATAGGTTAAGCACACCTGATCTCCGGCACCGATTTCTTCTTCAGCACGATTTACATGCACTCCAGCGGCAATTTCCGGTGATTGCTGGTCCAAGGCTAACAAAACGTTGCATGTCTTATAATCAAAACCTGTTTGGTGTTTTGTTTTTTATTGTTTATTAAGTTAAATTGTTTCATATATTTTCCGATAAATACAATAAAGAAAAAAGAAAGAAATGCACACCATTATTTAATTAAAATATATAAAACAATATAAAAATAATATATCATAAAATATCATCTTGTTCTTTGTTTAACCCAAAAATTCTGTAAAGGAAAAAATTCTGAAATACCCCAAGAGTAAAATACGACAAATAAAAATAAACACTCCAATATTGGACAATCACAAACATTCACATACCAAGAGGACGACAAACACAATAGGCCCAAGTTGTTTCAGTTTATTTCGAAATCTGTTTTGGTTTTTCTAATTTTGTTCATGATTTTTTTTTTTTATGGAATCCCTTTTGACGTGCATTAAATGAAAGTTATGAAAATTATGCATTAAAAAAATATATAAAACCTGTTATTTCTTTTAGCAATGTTTCTTTGCTGTAGAATTGTTAATGATTTTGACTGAATGACATGACAGGAGGAGGTAGTTTGTGAAGAAGTTAGATGAGAACTAGTCCCAATTTGGGAAAATAGAACTTCCAACCGTTGGATAATTGAGTCTGGAGTATTTTGGAAAGCCAGATTGGCACTAAAAAAACCAAAGTATCGATCACCTCAAGCAAGCGCTTCGCCGGGAATGGGTAAAAAACCGCAGAGCAACATTCGGGCAGCGTGTGATGGTTTCATTGGCCGTTTGAAGGCCATAATTCGTGCAAAAGGTGACCACTTAGAACAAATCTAAACTTATTCTAAAATTTAATGCTATTTCCGACATTTTTTGCTTTCATTCAATAACATTAAAAAAATGTAAAAATTATGGCGTTTGACTTTGTTGGAGTTTTTTTTTATCTCACCCTGTATTTATTCCATTCATAGACTGCAGATTTGACAAATTTTAAAATAGCTTAAGTGGACTACTTAATACTAAGAAAACATTACTCAGACTTATTTTCGATAACTTTCCCTATTTACGAAAATAAAATAACCCTATTCTTACACAAATAAAATGAATCAAAAATGTTGATGACATATTCCCCAGTTTGCGTTTTTTATCTTAAGTTGTTTTAATGGATTAGTTGTTTGGTTTTCGGTTTTGCGTTTTTTTTTAATAAATAATGAACATTTTCAAGGAATTAAGAAAAATAAATGTTTTGTTATGAATTGCCAACCATGGATGGTAACAAACAAAAAAAAAGGAAACAACGTTATTCTGAGAAAATTTATAGGCGCCACAGACAAACAAACTTATTTGGTAGAGAGATATACATTGATGAGGAGTATAGTAGAGTAGAGATGTTGAACCAAAAGAACAACAACAAAAACACACAATACCTGATCACCAGCGCCGACATCTTCTTGATCGCGATTAACATGGACACCGTTGGCAATATCAGGAGACTGTTGTTCAAGGGCAACGAGTAAATTTAAAGTTTTCCAATCGAAGCCTTAATTTGTACAAAATATCGGAAGGGTTTTTAAATTATAATAAACAAAAAAAATGTGAAATCAAAAAGGAAATCAAAGCCTTGGACGTTAAGTTATGGAACCCCCCATGGATTTTAAAGGAAAAACATACTATATTTTCAAATTTAAAAAGAAACAAAAGTCATATTCTCCTCTAATTTTAAAACCTTACCCTTTGAGGAATCATCATAGCCAATGTGTTTAACTGTTTCGCGTACAACCTTTTGATAATCCACCACAGCTTTGGAGGTAATTTCACCACACAACAAAATCATGCCAGTTTTAGCCACAGTTTCTGTAGAAAATAAATATGAAAAGGAAATGAATAAATAAATCAAGAATTGAAAAAAATTGTTTATTTTATTGAAGTAGCACACGCTTTGTCATGATGACGTATCAATAACACAAGTCTTGACGAGACTTTTTTTGTTTATCAACAAAGGGCCGAAGTGTTTATTTATTTAAATCAATTGAGAAGCCGAACTCAGACGCATAAAGAATCAAATTAACCACTGCTTGATATCATAGTACAGCGCGAAAACTTGCAATTTTGAATAATTGATTATTTGGCACAAGTTTTTTTTTTCTGTCATTGTAAGAAGGTATAATAAAAAAATTAAATTTTTCCAAACTGCCAGGTCAAACCGCTATCACAAACTAGATTTGAGATTTGTTCCACTAAGAAAGTTAAAGTGGACCTTCATAGGCAACTTCTGTAATAAGCCATTACAGAATTCAAATACGAAACGAATAATGTTTAGCTATATCAAAATACCGAATATCGGTAGTTTCCGTTATATGAGGGCTATACGAAGACGTGGTCCTACACCGACAATTGTCTGTCATAGGCTGTAGTATGCATTACGAACTTCAAATACCAAATTTGAAACAATTGCGGTGAATAATGTGCGCGTAAATCACCAAAATATCGAAAATAGTGAGGTACCATTATATGGGAGCTATACCAAAACGTGGACCTACATAGCAAATTTTCCAAGTCTTGCATACATAATATACATTTGAGTAAAATTTTATCAACCTACTTCATTTTGTTTGGATGATAGAGCGATTTCGACAGACGGACGGACATTGCTAAATCGACATACAATTTTATGCTTATAACGAATGTATATGCATTGTGTATATTTCGAGGTGTTACAAACGGAATTACAAATTTAATATACTCTCCAAACTATGGTGGAGGGTATAAAAATATTTATTGGTGCAATAGATATACCGGACTGATTTTCACCAAAGGAAAAAATTTATTGAATATTAAAAAATCTATACGAAGGTATAGATTGAAGGTATATAAAAATCTGAACCGATCTCGATAAAATTTGGCAGAGGTATTATCGAGCTGTATCTGATGTCCGGTGGTATCAAATATCCTTATTCTGGGATGTTAGGGATTTAAACACCAAATCGGATGAAACATATATATGGGAGCTATAGCTATATCTGAACCGATTTTCACCAAAATGTGAAGTACTTTCTTATGGGCTGAATTCCCTCAGAAATGCCAAAATTCAGACCATTTGGGCTGATATAAGCCATTTGGTGCACAATTAACCCGAAATCGGTCGAAGATATATGTGAGAGCTATATCTAAATCTGAACCGATCTTGATAAAATCTGGCAAAGATATTGCTGGGCTGTATCTGACATCTGGTGCCAAGTATCATTGTTGTGGAGTGCATATTACACATGTGAGGGACTTAAAACCCCAAATCGTATGAAACATATTAATGGAAGCTATAGCTATATCGAAAACGATTTTATCAAATTTGATGTACTTGCTTCTAGACAGAATACGGTAGAATGTGCCAAAATTCAGGTCATTTGAACAGATATTAGCCATTTGGTGCACAATTAACCCATAATCGGTGGAAGATATATATGGGAGCCATATTTAAATTTGAACCGATTCTCACCAATTTCAATAAGGTTCGTCCTTGGGCCCAAAAAAGTTTGTTTGGAAAGTGTAATTTCAATCGGATAATAAATGCGTCCTGCATTTTGTTTATAAAAATACATGGACTGACATGCAAAAATCGACTCAAAAAGTGATTCTATGACGATTCTCAAAAGAAACTATGGATATATCTCGCTTCCTTCTCCATGTTACAAACTTTTCTATTTAATCATAATTAATTTAGCATTTAATTTAGTTCAAAAGTCTCTAAATTTCGCCATTAGATTGTACTCTGAAGTAGATACATTTTCAATTTAATCGGCTTAAAATTGTAAATTTCAAATAAATAAAGAGCCCTTTCTTTCTAAACATTTCATATTGATAATGACCATGACGACATTGTTTAAAAAAAGTTGAATAATATTAATTACCACAAGCAACTTTGGCATCGGGATCTTGTTTTAAGTGGGCATCCAAAATAGCGTCACTGATTTGATCGCACATTTTATCTGTAAATAGAAAGAAACAAAGAAGTGAAATATTAGAAAATGTTTAAAAATATATAGAGAAACAGAAATACAATTGAACAATGAACATTTTCTGTAATGCAAAATTTTAACAAAAAATATACACATGACAAAGAAAATTTTGGGGGGAAATCTGCAACACGAGTAATCGCACGCGCATTCATAATTTCACATCATATGAAACATAGCTAGACGAAAAAGAAGACGCTACACTATAATGGACATATATATATTTAAATACACAAACAATAAAAAATTATGCACTCTTAGGCAATGGTGTGTATCCACACTGCTACGCGTAATTCAATGCCAATGTGTCTAGATGAAATAAAACTAGGAACAGTGTACTGTTCCCGCAACATATATGCATGCATATATAGACAATACATGTGTCGAGTTTGAAAAAAAAGTAAAAGATTTCAAATAGCATTTTCAAAATCACCATAATTTCATGATGATGCGACAGAATAGAACACCGCGAAAACGACATCCACACACAAGAAGGCCATTATTCTTCAATGTGATATATGTGTATGAAGAATATTGTATTCGGAGAGAACATAATAGAACCTTGTAGGACATGCACTTTTTTGATGACGTTGAGGAAAATATATACACGAAATAAAATGCCAAAAGAGAATGCACGTTGAACTAATTGTGGCACAAGCGCCAATTTGATATTTTCCGCGTTGAAATTTTATTATGTTTATTTCAAGATGATTTTTTTTTTTTTTTCAATTATCACTTTAAAACAAGACATTGCTCCAGACATCTAAAAAGAAAACAGACAAGACAATCTTTATGTCTGAAGTTGTTGAAATAGGAATGTCAATTGGGATTGCATTTTTCATACCCTCCACCATACATAGTATATTAAGGGTATATTAAGTTCGTCATTCCGTTTGTAACTCATCGAAATATTAATTTTGGACCCAACAAAGTATATATTTATTCTTGATCAGCGTAAAATTATAAGATGATTTAGCCCTGTCCATCCGTTCATCTATCCGTCTGTTGTAATCACGCTAGAGTCAAAATGTATAAAAATGGGAAGCTAAAATTTTGCACCAATTTTTCTTTTGTCTGCAGACAAAAGACCCATATAACGGTACCCCGATATTCGGTATTTTGGTGATTTTAACAACATTTAACAATGGCATTTTCTAAAATTCTACACAAGGAGTTCTTCGTGACTACTTTACCACCTGAAAAAGAATTGCCTACATATGTCCACGATATCGTATATCCCCCACATAACTGTACCTCCCGATATGTGGTATTTTGATGATTTATGTCACATTTTTAAATGGCTTTGTCTGCAATTCTACATAAGGTCCACGATATCGTATAGCCCCCATAGAATAGTGTCCCTTGATATTCGGTACTTTGATGATTTCAGCCACATTTTTCAATGGCATGGTCTGAAATTCTACACAAGGTGTTCTCTGTGAGTACTTTACCCCCTGGAAGAGAATTGTTTACATAGGTCTACACCGAAATATTCGGTATTTCCATGATTTTCGCGACATTATTCACAGGAATTGCTAAAACCTATGATAGAATATTGTCTATGCCGGAACCTCCCTTTATTCTGTATTTTGATGACATTAGCGACATTATTCACCGGAATTGTTTCAATTTTTTTCTTTAAAATCTTTCAAGTTCCTTCCGAATATTGGAGGGTATAAGAAGTTCGGCCCGGCCAAACTTAGTTGTTTTTTACTTGCTTCAGACTATAAGGGCAAATTATGGTTATTGAAAAAATATTAAATAAAAAATACTATCTTCGATAATTTTGTTGTTGTAAAATAGTCAGGCTTAATCCCATTATTGCTTTTTTTTATAAAAACGTTTGTTCATTAGTGAAGAATGATGGCAATGTTAACCAGGGGAATATAAAAATGTTTATGAATCTTGGAAATTAATTTCACAAATTTGTCAGACATTTCCAGAATTGTTAGTTACATCGGATTTATTTTAAAGATTTTTTTTTCTATCTTCTTTTTTTTTTTTTTGAAATTTTTTATTTTTAAAACTCAATTTCAAATTTTATTGTCTTTTTTCATAGTCTCAAAGTCTTCCAAACTGTAAGATTTCTTGTTCGTAATCTCTAGTCGTAGCATGTGATCAAAAAATGTATTTAAGAACAATGACTATAATTAGTAAATTCCATTTCTGTAGCAATATGTATACAACAAATGTATTCATATATGTAATTATAATACAATATAGTCCGGGGTCTAGTATTTAATAATTGTGTGGCCTGTATGTACATATAGGGAAAAACGAGTGATAAGACAGAAAATATTTTGCAACGTAATGCTACGTGCATTTATCCCCGTGAATTCTGAGAAGGAAGGAAATCATTATTTCATGGAAATATCATCATAACAACAAATATTGTACAGTAAAATCTCAATAACTTGGAATTGTAAGGGGACCAGTCAATCAATCTCCTATAATGATAATTTCATTAGGAATTAGGCAGTCAGAGGACTAACGAACTGTAACAAATATCATGTCTGCACTAGATTTATGGATTTTACTGTCTATTACTATTTGGGAATTTTTATTTTAGACAAATACTGTAAGAACTTTACTTCAAAAATATTTCGGTATAAAAAATAAATTTTAATTATGATTTTTTTTATACATTATAAAAATTATGAAACCATAACCTTTTTGTACGTTTAAACAGCGTTATCAATCTGATACAAAATTGAATGATCCATAAAGACCCCAGACCGTTCAATTATTCAAATTATAAAATTATAAAAAAAACAAAACGGAATCTAGAGCTCAAAAAGCTTTTGAAGTAAGACTCAGTGATATTCACACAGATGCAATAAACAAATTGTATTGCATTGAAAAAAACTGATAAAAGTTGCCTTATAAAGAATGATATTTTAGTTATTATCCTTTTGGCAACATTGGTTTAAACAGCGCAAGTTTTGGGTTTTGTTTCACATCAAACATCTTCAGTTTTGTTTAAATCGGTGAATAATGTATAGGGATTTTCCGTTATATGAGGGCTATACGAAGACATGGACCTTCACAGACAAATTTCTGTCTTAGGTTGTAGTATCTATTACGAATTTCGAATACCAAATTTGAAACAATTCCGGTGAATAAATAGATAGCATAACCATTATGTTTAATAGCAGCTGTATTCCTACGAGGCATTAAATCTATAACACGCTCAATTTGATCCTTGGGTATGCTTTCCCAAGCACCCTGAATTCTTTGAAAATTTTTGTGTTTATTTGCTTCCGAATCTCGCTTGATCTTCCTGACTACGATACTCCAAAGGTTTTCTATGGGGTTTAGGTCACATGACTGTGCCGGCCACAAAAAAACACCGATTTCTGACTCCCGCAACCAATCATTGACAAGTTTTGGTGCATATTTGGGATTATTGTCATGCTGAAACGCTCAAATAAGTCGAATATTTTCCTCAGCGAAAGAGAACAACGTGATGTCCAACACAAAACCGAAAATAAACCGATCCATAGCATCCTTTATTTCATGGATAGTCCCAAATCCATAGAAAGAAGAACAGCGCCACACCATTTTTGACCCTCCCTCATGCTTTACTGTACCCTTGCAACACTGCGGCTTGAGTCTTTCATTTTTTGGTTTTCTTACCGTAAAATTTTTCATGTCTGTGCCTTTAATATTAAACGTAGACTCACCCCAGAATAAAATGTTTGTCCATTGAGCTGGATTCCAATTAATATTATCGTTTCCGATTTTTTCTGATATAAATGGCTTTTTGATGGCTTACGGGCATGCAGACCAGCTGCCACTACTCGTCTACGCATTCATCTCGAGCCTACATCCAATGAAAGTTCTCTCCTATTTGTTGTTTGTTGTATCTCACAATTTGTTGATCAGTACGGGCTGAGGTCTTTCATGGCCTTCATCCGTTATAGACTTTTACTACTTATCCAGTTTCATAAAACCGACTTAGTATAAAAAAAAAATTTCTCGGAAATCATTTTCATAGTCACTGATAAATTAATTAAACTTTTTTTGGGCAGTACTTAAAAAATGAAAACAAACACGTGCTGTTGTGAAAATCTTCTCAAAAATGATTTATGACAAGTGAAATTGTTGAAGAAAAAGGCGATATATATAACAGTGAAAACAACTGAAATTGCAGCGATGACATGAATTTAAAACAGAGTTGTTTTTTTTTTTTTGTCCAAGCCAAAATCGGGTTAAATTACTTTTAACATACATTTTTGTTTTTTCATATAAAAACGAATTTTGTTTTAATTTTTTAAAAAGAGAATAAAGCGCCTAATTTAAAGCTAAAAAACTTTGTCATTTTCTTCATTTTTAAAAAAGTTACAGAGCATTCATGATCCTTGTAATTTCCGTTGCTTTTGTTTTGGCCACCAGTGTACATCTATCGGCAAAACCTACTGATACTATTTAATTTGTTTTCTTTTTATATTTTATAAATTGTTGAGTTTAAATTTGACCCTACTATCTGTTTTATTTTTATGAAGAGCACAACACGTGATATTTGTTATTCCCATACAATTCATAATTATATCAATTTTTTTCAAGAACTAGCAATTATCTGAACTACAACCCAATTTATATATGTCATATTTCACGAAATAACAAAACAAAACAGACTGAGAAGAAATGTTTTAAATATATGTAGGTATTAAAAAAATATTTTGCTAAAAGACATAATATGTTGCGCAATAAAATATTTAAATCAAGTTTAATGTCACAAAATATTATAATTTTCCAATTTTTTTTTTTTTTTTTTTTTTTTGTTTACGAAAAAAATCACTTTTAGAGTGATTTATTTTTTATTTTAACTGATAATGAGAAAGAAAATCAGCATCGAGACGAGGGGATTGGAATGGGGAGAAAGAAAGCAATCAATGTTTGTGTCATAATACAAATGCCGAGTCATAATATTGTTATTCAAAAAATCAAACAAAGATAATAGACCTATTTAC